ATTTACCGGTTACAAGAGTACACAGAATGCGAAAAGGGTTTAAAAATTGACAGGAACTTTATTTACCGGTTACAAACTTTTTATTACCAGCGCCGAATAGACCTGTAAGTTGAATGTTGGGATTTGATGATGTTCGCAACGTGGAGTGTGACTCTGCCTTTCTCTGGAATATCGTGGACAGTCGTGTAGTAGGTAATCCAAGGTTTCTGACGTTTCACCATCACTTCGACAGCAATCTTGGACTGTTATTTTAAATCGTTTCAAGTACTCTTTGTGATAGCCATGCACTTCATTGACTTCTATAGCATGTTGTTACATGTTAGTTCAGAAAAACTCAACGACTAAGTGCTGAGTTAAGCTTAAGGTGGTAAATATAGATGGTATAGATTTGGGAGGCATGGCAATACTTCTATTTTTGATCGCTTCAAGGCATGATTTACTATCAAAGAATAATTGACGAGTTTTGTTAGTCAGATTGGATTTAGCCCATTCTGAGGCGCAGTCGATAGCTAGTGCCGCAGAAATATTAATACACAAATAGCAAAATTGGAAATGTTTAGTTATTTGCCCACTGTCTTTGGGCTAGAGGGCCGAGTGGGAGATGGATTGGGTCTTGATATCCAACCCACTGGAAAGAGCAAAGTTCACGCTTTGCAGAAAGTCACATCTGACCTCTCGAAACCTTCCACAGACCCCTGGGGAGCCATTAGAATATGGTCTAAAATTAGCATTTTGACACCGGAAATATAACCTCTATAAATAAAATTTTTGTGCAGAACACCTTTCTATTGTCAAAGGTATTTACCAATTATTGTGCATATAATTCCGGCTACGCCATCCACAGTGTATTTGCGTAGAATTCACTCCGAAATTCACAAAACAACGTATTTTGCAGACGGAATTTACTAATAAATTAGTGACCGAAAATTACAAAATTAGGTATTGCAATAAGGTATAGACCCACTACAAGTGTGTGTAAAATTTTTTGCATCGGGTTACCAATTCGGCCACAATAGCCCGAAAGCAAATAACTAAACTGTACCCAGTTAAATTGTTATTTGGTTTTCCTCAATCAACAATTGCACCAAAACGACGTCACACACAAGGTGAGGTACGTTAAGATTACTTATCTTTATATTTATTTGTATCTGTGCATTTTTCTTCATGCGTATCTCTTTCTTTATTTTTATCAATATCTTTGTCTTGATCTTTGTTTTTACCTCTATCTTTTCTTTTCTCTTCGCCTTTGTATTTTCCATTGTCTTTGCCTTTGTCTTGGTGTTCGTTTTATTCCTAATCTAATGCTCTGTTTTAACTTCATGATAACCTGAATCTTCTTCTCCATCGCCATCTTCCTCTTTAGCTTCATCTTCAATCTTCATCGTCGTGTTCATCTTCCTCTTGCTTGATAAATGTCTTCTTCTTCACCTTCATCTCTATCTCCATCTACATCTCCATCTTCATCTCTGACTCTGCGGCCAAAACTGGTAGGTTTTCCCCATTTTGTAGGTTGTTAGGCTAGATGAAAGGTTTGAAGCCAACGAAAGGGCTCACTGTCTCGCAAATCGTGGATCCCAAGTGCGCTTGCATGGTCCCTAACCGTTCAGCGGTTCATCTAAAGGATACACTGCAGAACTACTTACGTGCTAGGAAGAATCTCAAATAGCTACCTACTAGTGGAAGTCAGAGGGAATAAGACAATCACAGAGATTCAGAACTTCTTCCAGGAAGAACTCCGAACCCTGTACGTATGTGTAAAGAGACATAATTTTGTATAAGTCAGTACAGTAGAATAAATTATTATACGCAGTTAATGGGTTTTTATTGTAAAAGCTGTGTTTTAGTTTTACTAAATGTTATGTAATCTACATTTTTAATAACCTTAACATTGATAACAAAAATGTTTGCTAGTTTTTGGTAAGAAAAAATTCGTCTGTGGCAACACTGATTGTACATCTAAAGGTCCATCCCATTAACTTGGCATGTTTGACAATAGAACGAACGATACAGATCCGATGACATGGTATTAAATATTTAACGCGAACTTCTCCAACGAGGTAGATTAAGACCATGGCTCAATAAACAGGTGAAGTAATAAAACAGATTTCTCGCTTTATTTTCTGACATTCGGCTGCCTATCTACTAGTAACCCAATTTGCCACTCGACGTCGTTTCCGAC